TTTCAATGAAATTTGTGATAATCGAAAATATAGAAGTTAAAATGTTTTAACGGTTAAATTCCATCTACATTTTGTTATTTCTCATCATGGAACTTCAGTCATGTTCTGAATATTTTCATTAATTAAAGCTTTTTTTTCAAAGATATTACATTTGAGAAAGAAGAATTTTATATATACTAAACGTAACTGTTGTATTGGCAAATTAGTATACTAAAATAGTTTTAAACTCTACTTAAAGATTTAGAAATAGCTATTGAAAAGATTTTTAACATGTTTTTCTTAACATTTTCTTTATGAAATCACTCAGTTTGCAAATTGGTCTCACACTTTAAAAAAAAAAGACTAGTATCCCTACTCAATATTTAGCCTAATTAGGCTTAATGTTAAAACTGAAGTAACAATCAAGTTATTGTGCAATACTATAGTAAGTCTTATTAGAATTGTATAAATGTTGTTTTAACTTTGGTTTACTGGCTCTCAGTTTTTGTAATCTTTTCTGCTGTCACTCTGTCTGTGTTACTTAACTTGTGACAACTCTGAATTATAATTATGGTGCTTGTAATGCTTTGAAATTTAATGTGCTATTTCATTAGCAAGTAATCCAAATTTGAAGCCAAGCTCATACTTTGTTTTGTGTCCATACTTAATAATGTATGAATTTTAGTTCAAGTTTGTTTGGAATTTGTACTTGGAAACACAAGAGTTTCAGTTTCAATAATTTGTTTATCCTTTGAATGAGAGTATTTTTTAATTATATGTAATTACCATACTAAAATTATTACTTCATTTTAACAAGTACTAAGTCAACTTGTATTTTTCAAGTGTAATCAAACATTTATGTACCCAGCACCACTTCAAGTGGTTCAATAAATAGAAAATCAAATTGTATAAAAAAAAGAAGCTCTGAAATGAACAAAAACCTATTTTTTATTTTTGTGGTTTTTTTCTTTAATTTTATTTCATCACATTGTAGTGCTTAACTAATTTAAAAAACACTTAACTATCTAAAGATATACTTATTTCTGTTATTTAAATTTGTGTTGCAAAACCTGTTTAACCATAAAAATAAATAAAAAATTAGAAAAACAAGTCGGGGATGGAAATCTGTTGGTAAAACCCAAAGTGTAGAGTTTCAAGCAACTTTAAATATATTATTAATATTAACATATCCAGAACATTTACAGTTATTATTATTTCAGTTGTAACATTAGTAGATGTTAATCTTTCCAACAATCACCTCTCTTGAATCTTGTCTGTTTCTCTTATCACAGTCCTGGCAACATTAACTTTTGAAAAATAGTAATCTCTATTGGGACAAGGGAAAATTAGTAAAAAAATATAAACAGAAATGGTGTCACTACTAATTATGTTTTATTTAATCACAGACAAAACTTGTACATCTTGCATAATTCGTACCCTTTGAGGATGATACAGTATCATTGAGTCTTTTTTTGTACATCTTGCATAATTCGTACCCTTTGAGGATCATACAGTATCATTGAACTTTTTTTGTACATATTGCATAATTCATACCCTTTGAGGATGATACAGTATCATTGAGCTTTTTTTGTACATCTTGCATAATTCATACCCTTTGAGGATGATACAGTATCATTGAGCTTTTTTTGTACACCTTGCATAATTCGTACCCTTTGAGGATAAAACAGTATCATTGAACTTTTTTTGTACACTTTGCATAATTCGTACCCTTTGAGGATGATACAGTATCATTGAGGTTTTTTTGTACATATTGCATAATTCATACCCTTTGAGGACAATACTGTATCATTGAGCTTTTTTTTTGTACATATTGCATAATTCTTACCCTTTGAGGACAATATGGTATCATTGAGCTTTTTTTGTACATCTTGCATAATTTATATCCTTTGAGGATGATACAATATCATTGAACTTTGTTGAATACTCATGTATAAACTTCTTCTCACTATAAACTTTTCTTTTCTTTATTGAAGTCATTGGAGACAAAGCAAAACTACATTTTTCTGCCTAAAAATGATCGGTGCATCCCAGATGCTTACTAGTTACACATTTTTTTTTTTTAATTGACAATATCAAGCATTTGTAAGATTGAGACACAAAGTTGAGAGTTGTGAACTATCTCCATGTGTTAAGATTGGGGGGTTCTCAAAATTTTTTATAACCAGTAATAATGAGGAAAACAATGTAGGTGTCTTTCCAGCTTGTAAGTGTTATGAAATGTGTTCATAAATAAATAATTTCAATATGCTAAACAAATTTCATTATTAAACTATCAATTACTGAGATATTAAAACATAAGTGTAATAAGAAGATTATTGATTATAGCATTTTTAAGTAACATATTGTAACTGTTTAGTGTCAAATGTAACTTACAGTTGAATCTGATGGAAGATTTTTTTTTCCTATTTGTAGGAGGGTACAGTACTTACTACAGAGCCTTATGTAGTGATGTTAATACAAACCTGAGGGTTACAATACTTCAATATTAATATTTTCTAATCAACATTCAAATAAAATTGTCATATTTTTCAATGTTATTGAAAGGAAAGGACACATGTTTGCCCTGTGTGTAGAGCTCTTGTTTTCAAAACTGATGAGTCTAGTTTGAATACATGCAGCACCACAGAATATTATCTGGTTTAAGCTGAGAATGCATTATAAGAGTGACACTCAATTACTAAGTATTGGTGTTAGAATGCTGCTAATTGGCTGTTTTTTTCTCTGGTCAGTAGTTCAAAATTAGGGATAGTGGCAGGTAGCCTTGTTAGCTTTGCCATAAATACAAATTTGAAAGAAATATTCTAGCAAAAACTTTTTGATTACTACATAAAGATTAATAGTTTAATAATAGTTGCTGATAAACCAATTTGTTGCTTATGAACAAGACCTACATATGGATATTTTGTTTTTTTTATAATAACCTTTTTATTCTTTGATATGACTAGGTCCTTCACCTCTTCCCGAACCTCCCACTGGACCTGTTCCATTGACTACAGTTAAGTCACCAGAAGAGGTCACTGGAATTAAGTCTCCAGATCCAGAAACCTGGACAATTCCACTCGAGACAAACAAAGAGCTTGAGTGGACTGATGGTCATATTCCAGGTAAAGCATGATTAATTGATCAGACCAAAAAAAAATTGTCAGTTGCTCTGTTTGCTTAAGTAGATTAATTTTGATGGAATACTGAAGCACTTAGTTTTAACTTGTCTGAATTCTGTACATTACAATATTTCTTTTAAAAAACTGCTGAACCCCACAGTTGACGCAAAGCGAATCAAGTATCCTCCCGAGTTTCTGATGAAGGCTGAAGCTTTCCCTGAGAATGGAGCGCTCATCGAGTCAGGTGTAAGTAGATTTTAGCTCAAAGATTACTTGCTGGCTAGTCTAGATACTGCAAGTTAAAACCTTAAATAAATACAGTCTTGTAGCCATTATGAAGTCAAAATAAAAAACTGTCCAGAAAAAATATTCATTCTGCGGTTTTGACAGAATAATATTGTATAAATACTATATAAATTAGCTAAAAATTAAACCTTTTTAACACTATAATAGTTAAGGTTTATTCACTAGCTGTCATCTGGTTAACTGTCATTTTTCACAACTAATTATATTCTCTTTTGAACCCAAGCAAGCCAAACGTTGTACTACTCCATTAAGATAAATATACTTTAACAAATCTAGTTCAGTAACATAATATTTTCCAGAGAATGTTATAGATGTAGAAATGTATTTGCTAAACCTAAGAAAAATATTAAGGACAGTGTAAATTATTTCATTCTTAATTTAACTTTTGCCATTTTTAATTATATAAATGAATGATGAATGTTTGTGTTTTTTATCCTTATCTGCTCATCTCGTTACTGCAGTAAATCACCACATTATCTGAAAATGTTTGTTTTTATGATACATGTTTATTTTATTTATTTTATCCTTATCTGCTCATCTCGTTACTGCAGTAAATCACCACATTATCTGAAAATGTTTGTTTTTATGATACATGTTTATTTTGTTTATTTTATCCTTATCTGCTCATCTCGTTACTGCAGTAAATCACCACATTATCTGAAAGTGTTTGTTTTTATGATACAATACTTTACTAATTAATCTTTATTTCAACAGGTTTAAATTCTTCTAATTTTTCTCATTCTGGGTCTAAGGTAAACACCTAGTGGCAACACTATGAATGACATAGATCATGCACGCTTTAGGGTAGACATTTCTTGAAGCAGAAGCTTGTGATGCTCAACTTCCTTCTTTGATCTCACCTCCTCCTCTTTTCATCAATCTTTACATCTCTAGGTAGCTTGATTGCAAGACATTTCTTATTGTGGGTAAGGTGAAGATTTTTAAGTTTGCTGTTTTGTGCTATAATACTTACTTTATGATGGTTGCTTATGGTCAAGGCATCTTTTAAATAATATTTAGTAATATCAACTTGTCAGTGGAAGTTCCTAGTAAAGGGTGTATATTATTGTAATGCTTGGAAGAAATGTGACAGGGGCGATGCAGTCTCTGTTTACATGTTTATCATTCTAGAAGTGGCTTTTTTATTCTGTGATATTTATTAAATTTAGCTTTTTCGAGGCAATTTATTTTTTAATTTGTACCTTTTCAAGTAAATGGTGTAATTTTGTTGAATGAAAAGCTTACATTTATAAACTTGGGCAACTTGAGTTAATAAACTTCTAATAACTTCAGTGATACAGGGATAGTGTGAAGTTTGTCATTAATGTACAGTAAAAATTTCTGAACTTATAATCGTCTTCCTCACTGGCATATTTATCAGCAAAATCTAATGTCAATGTGTTAATAAAGATCACAAAATGAGCTAATTCATCGAGCACATGTTAACATGACCTTCTACTATTTTTCTCAATGACATCAGGAAAACTATTCACTAAACTAAGTTCAATTTCTTGGATTTAAGTCCAAGCTAATCCTTAACAGGGTAACTAGCCAACTTGTTTGAGTGACTACTGTTGAAATTATTCGGGTTACCAGTCATTTTAAAGATGTTTTCTGTAAAATCAAAATGTACATGTATACCATTACAAGTAGTAGTATTAGTAGTACGCTTATATTGTAGGCGAGTTTATCCATAAGAGTTTGATTCTATTCTTTTATTTACATATATTTATGTAATTTTTTTTTAAAAATCATACATTTATTTTTTATTAGAAATAGTTTAGGCATGTGAATATTCCTAAATATATTTTTTATTATAGAAACTTTATTCTCATGTTTTTTAGTATATTTTATCTCGTAATAAAACATACTATGAATACTCCAAAGATATTACTTAACTATCAGTTATAAAAACACCGTTCAGTCTAACCAAATATGCAGAACACAAATTTTTTTCTGACTTTGTAGTAAATCATGTGGATTGGCTGGTAGTTTAAGATGCCTTTAAGGAAAACTTATTTTCGTTCAGATATGTGTTTTTTTTGTGTAAATTTTTTTTTGATGGAGCCGAGTTTTATGTTTTACACAATAATACAAGAATTATTAGGTCATATTTCAGTGTTGTCAAAAGTATTTAAGTCGAAAAAAACAATCCCTACAGCTATGTACTCTAATCAATAGAATTATTTGTAACTACATTTTAATTAACTTTCTGCTTCATCCACTGTAGAATGGCATAAGGCTTAGCAACTCGAATGTCAAAATCAAGAACAGTGTTTTGTGAAAGATTCTTTCTTTACTATGTATATTAAAATGTTAGTAATATGTAATTAATACTTCTCAGTATTAGTTGAAAAGCTGAAAAAATTAAGTAGCAATTGACAACTTTCAATTTGTATAGGGGGGGGGGGGGTGGACGACGTGCAACCATATAAAACAGAATGCAGATAAGATCAGTACTAAAAAGGCTAATTGTACTGTTTAACAATATGCATAGAAGCTTGTATCTAATGTATCAAATAAGGTTGCTAGATGTGTGAAATAGATACTACAAATGTCAGGTATAAAAGAGCATTTCATACAGACATCAGGTTTGTTTTATAGACATGCTTTGGTTAAGATTGGCTAGTTTTGAGTTGCTTCTAACAGTTGTATGATGTTGATGAATTTAAAATGTAATAAACACAGAAATTGATTGCATAGTTGATATTGCTGTGTTGATGGACATAATCACAGTTCTTTAACGAATAGCAGAAACGTTACGAATAAATAAAGTTAACAGCTTTAGAGCCAAAATGAGAGAATTTAGCAAATGAAATCTCGAGAAAGCTGTTGACTATCGAGCTTCCACCTATTATTGTTCGCCTTATAACTTAATGTTTGAGATAAAGAAAAAAAAACTGTATGAAGAGAACGCTGTAATAAACAACAAAAAATGCTCGACATGATGATAAAGGTTTTCTTTTTGTTGCTGAAATCAACTTACGCGAAACCTCGTTAAGGGGAGTATTTTGTTAGAATATTTATGATGTGTATATTTTTATCTTAATGTTAACTTTATTATTATTGTCTCAGCAAGTTGGTATATGTTATAATCAGATTTATATTGCTTCAAAAAGTTAAAAAAATGTGCTGTAATCGGATTTATGTTTTGTAATATCATTTTAGCAAGTTAATATATTCTGTAATCAGATTTTTGTTTCATAATATCACTTCAACAAGTTAATATGTACTGTAATTGGATTTGTGTTTGGTAATATTACTTCAGGAAGTTAATATATGCTATAATCAGATTTGTGTAGGTAATATTGCTTCAGCAAGTTGGTGTATACTGTAATAAGATTTTGTTGGTAGTATTTCTTCAGGAAGTTGATGTATTCTGTAATCAGATTTTTCTTGGCAATATTGCTTTAGCAAGTTGGTGTATATCAGATTTGTGTTGGTAATATTGCTTCAGCAAGCTGGTATATACTATAATCAAGACAAGTAGGTACAGGATTGTTCATACACAGGCAGATATTCATTATTTTTAAGTATTTTCACACTATCAGGATTGTTTTTAGCTAGTTTTTATATCATAGTCAACTTTTTAAGATTAATGAATTACTCACTTCTTATTTTAATGATCCACAGCTATTATAAATCTGACATGTACAAACTTTTTTTTTTATAGGAAATATTCCAAAATTTTAGGAGTAACTTGAGATAAATATGATGATGTTTTCTATTCAGTGAACCAAAGAGTTGTGAATGTTTTTAGTTACTAAAAAAAAATTGTTACTTACATTTACTGGTTTAAAAAGTTATAAAACAATGTGTGGTTAATTTTTTTTTTGTTCTAAGAACTAGAAAATTATAAATTTTCATGTCATATTGCTAGTCCTTTGACTTTTTACTAATAGGCATTTAAGAACATACTATAATACGTATATATAAAAAAAAAACAACTGCCAAATCAAGAAGACAGCTAAGCTTTTAAGAATTTTGGTATGACATTTAATGTTTGAACTCGTTCAGTTGTAGCCAACATTTCAGTTGTCTTGAAAGTTCATCGATTCATTTCTTGTGTGTAAGATGTATCACATCAGTTTCATCAGTCAGCTGTTCATATGATTGACAGCTGGAAAAAACTTGTTCTAAGCAAAGTTTCAAGTGTTAACCGTGCTTCATAGCTAGTATGTTACTATATTTCTAGTTTTCCAACTCTGCCAAAAATCTCAATTTTCACTCATTATTTACATTACAAAATCTACGAAAATAAATGATTTGCGTTTATTTCAGAAACAAAACTAGTTAAATGAATAAAGGTTGACTGTGGAAGAATTGGTTCTTTATAAGAAAATCTTATTGAAATGTCTACCAGTATTTGTTATAATGCAGCCCATAATAGTTAGAGGGGCAGTAGTGGATGTTATCATTCACAGATCTCTTGAACTTCTCCCATCAGCCCATTAATTTTAGCCAGGGTTACTATGATAAATGTACATTTTTGCTGTTAAACTGATGGCTAATAAACTAAGTAACAAAAAGTGTGTTGGTGATGTTTCTTTAATAATTAAAGTATATTATTTATATTTGATCTATTACTAAAGCAATACTGCCTTAACCAACCTGTAAACCAAAGTTTCCTGATCTTCCATATCTGTCTTTTTGATACATAAAGTGTCAATTGATTAATTTACACAGTTTACAAATGTGTCACATTAAGATTTTAGCTTAGAAATAGCCCTGCTTTGTTCATTCAGTGACACCTGATGGTATGAAATATGATTCTCTGTTTATAAACGACAACAACTTAGCAAACACATGCTTAGAAAGTCAGGGGGGATACTGAGTCAGAAAAAAAAAGGAAATAAAGTTCTGAGCACAAATCAATAGTATCTTTTAATGGAATGTTAGAAAGTCAGGGGGATACTGAGTCAGAAAAAAAAAGGAAATAAAGTTCTGAGCACAAATCAATAGTATCTTTTAATGGAATGTTAGAAAGTCAGGGGGATACTGAGTCAGAAAACAAAAGGAAATAAAGTTCTGAGCACAAATCAATAGTATCTTTTAATGGAATGTTGATATGAAGAAATTACATCAGAGCTAGCTATGTACACATTCAGATTTAATATCAAAGTTTGTATGGAAACTGAAAACTAACTTTAACCATAAACTATTGATTGTTTACTGGTCAATAAAATTCACCAAAAAAACAAACCAATAATTTGTGAATATGAGTGCCAATATTTGAAACTGTTAGTCATACAGAAACAAACCATATATTATTACAACATGAGAATAAACAAGCCTGATTTTTTTGTATTATCACACAAACACACAGTTATAATTTTAGCCTTGTTTTTCCAATTACAACAAATATATTTGCATTTTCATTTCCCTTGTAAGATAGGATATTTAGAACAAGATTTCAGTTGAAAAGTATTAAATGCCTTAGTAGGATTTTTTCTGTTGTTTCTTATCCTTGGTCCTGCAGTGGGTCAGTATATTAAGTTTTAGACTTACAATGCTAAAATCCTGTGTTTGATTTCCCAAAGTTGACAGAGCACATAGCTCACAATGTATAGCTTTGCAATAAAACAAACTTCTCTTTGTCAGATTACCTCACCAACTTGATAATATAAGTATACCCAAATACCAACTTGATAATAGAAGTATACCCAAATACCAACTTGATAAGTATAAGTGTACCCAATTACCATCTTGGTAAGTATAAGTGTACCCAATTACCATCTTGGTAAATATAAGTATACCCAATTACCAACTTGGTAAGTATAAGTTTACCCAATCACCAACTTGGTAAGTATAAGTATACCCAATCACCAACTTGGTAAGTATAAGTATACCCAATTACCAACTTGGTAAGTATAAGTATACCCAATCACCAACTTGGTAAGTATAAGTATACCCAATCGCTTTACTAAGGGAAGGAATGCAAGTAATTATACTACTTTTTTTATTTAATGACTCAATCAAACAGTTTAAACACGTATCTTACTTCTCTATCTCCACACTTTATATTTCTAATATTGTAAGATGTGCACGGTATATTGTAAGGATGTCATATTTGCCATGTTATCATTCAACCATTACCCCAAATCTAGAATCAGCTGTTTAACTATTACTAAAACCACATCATGAGAACAGATACTTTTACACCAGGACTAAGACATTATCATTTTTTCACAGATAATGCATCCATGTTCGTTTTTTTTTCTAGCTTTATCAGAAATATTGGTTCCTTTTTTTGAGCTTTCTTCTATGCTTACTACATAATTAACATATGAAATTGGGTTAAAGCAGTATATTTGGCAGGCTTATGTTTTGTTTTGTTTTCTATAAATATTACACTTTTGGGGGGATTTTAGACACAATTTTGAGCTATAACTTGTAAGCTGATCCCTTTGTCAGATGTGAACATTTCATGAGAATTCTGTAAGAAACAATGTCAACGTGTAGTTACGAAATTCCTGGAAGCTAGACTGCTGGACGTAGAGAACCTAGAGGTACTAGTACTACTAACTTGTAATCCACAATACTTCGACTTGCTAAACTTATTGGAATACTTTAACTACACCTGTCAACTTGAGCTTCCAGGAATTTCGGGACGTAGAGAACCTAGAGGTACTAGTACTA